CACGCCCCTCATTCGCCCAATTGCATTCATACCCTTAATAATATTCCCCCACTTTCCCAAAAATCCTTGGCACACCCCTTTTCGCACTTCCAGGCTCACATCTCACTCCGATCAGGAAGTCGTGCTGGGCGTGAGGTTGGGCGTCACAGGGCAACCTATCAGCCCTGGTACCTATCACTACTGTTCGGTCCAGGTTGCCTGCCCGTTGGTAGGGCGATGTACCTGAGTGCTGGTCACACTGAGGTAGGATAGTGGGATAGGGGGTGCGCTAGGAGTATGGACGTGAGAATGGGATCGGAGGTGGTCTAATATTCCAGGACACCCGTGGCTCACAGCTCCAGGTGATGAGTGTGCACTCACTGACTGGCCTGTACAACACCCTGGACTTGGAAAAAAAGAAGAAGAAGAAGAAGTCAAAGTTTGAACTCCTTGTAATTTTTTTATTTTTTTTAACAATCATACATAATATATTTTGCTTGAATGCAACCATGGTAGGACCAGCATTCCTGACTCCTGCAGCCACAAACACGTCTTAATTCAGGCGTTAAATCCAATCATTTTTACATTTTTTTAGACCTCCCCAAAAAGTAAAGTTTTGGACCATTTCTCCATTTATGCGTGCCATCCTTGCATCGTTTCAATTTTAATGGATGCCCCAGAGGACTCCATTCCCCTTTTTTTTCTTTTTTTTTTTAACAGGGGCCCTGTGCCCAAGGCTCAAATTGCAAATTGAAATACAATGCAAACATACGCCTCTTACCATTAGGGCTGGAAGAGCCTCGGCCACTGCTCCCACAGAGACAGCTTCCCTAGTCAAGCAGAATCGAGCATGGGCACTGAGCATTGATTGCTTTCCCTGAAGGGAAGGATTAACCCAGTCCCATAGACAATCAAATTTTGCCCTACTATAGCAAACCACCAATGATCAAACCCTACAAATCAAAAACACGGGGGGGCGATTATAGCAGGGCAAAAGTAAGTCGAGCACTCCCTGGATCTCGGTCAAAACCCTAAGTGGCTGTGCCCAACAGTTCACACGATCCTTGAGATGAAATGAACTTAAAGCAAATCAAGAAAGGAAGAAGTCAACATACAGGTTGTGTGAGAGTCACAGTTCTCGCATAGATCCATAGCTATGAGATCAACGAGATCAATCGAGACCAGGCAATCAGATCGAAGCAGATATCTTCCACCAAGGCAAACCCAATCCACAGGCTATAGCCAATTGGAAACATAGGTCAAGTTATCCCAAGCACTTTCAAAACACCACCCAGACTTGACGATTGAAGAGACAAGATGCCACCCACGGGATCAACGATTCCATCTCCTCACCTACCCAAATCACACAGGGGACCACGTGACCCGCTCATTTCCATCCTCGGGAACGTACCGCGGCGTCGAAGCAAAAGAAGCTCTTCGATGAAGGACGCCAGGACGGAGGCACGGCAGGCGATCGCCAAGTCCGGAGGGGAGCAGGTCGGCGGGAGGCGGTGCGGGGGAAGCCCGTCGACTGTTGGGAGGGCGTCCCAGCGAGTTGGGTATGAGGCATTGCCACCGCACTTGCAACCACTCCCCGGCTCATCAGACGAGGAGGACGAGGAGAGACGGCCACGCACCGTATCGTTGGGCAGCGGATCGACGCAGGAGTGGGCAGCTACGGAGCTATGAGGGACAGGCGGCGGCGTGTACGAGCAGTCGTTCACTAAAATCCTTCGCCCGGGGCTTAGCAGCAACGAAGGAGATGGCCGCGTCAACCTGTCGTTTGGTCTGTCCACCGGGCAGTCCTCAACTCCATCGCGCACAGTCCTCGTGCACCCCCACCCCGACGACGACAGCGGGCAATTGATGGTTGTCGACCGATCATCGAAGACGATGGCGTTGGCGCGCGATATGACGGGAGCGAACCCGAACTCGTCGACGTAGCAAGCAAAGGTGCTCTCTTTGTCCAGGGCTGACCAGGCTCGGCCCCACAGGATGCAGTCGCCGTCTCCCCTGTCTCCAGGTGTCCGAAGTGGCCCGCCTCCGTGGCGGTAGCGTCGACGCCGGGACGGACTTCTTTGACGTTGGTGATGATCGGGACGGGAGGGAGGTGTGGAAGGAACACCGACGGGACCTTCGGGCGCGGCGAGAGGAAACCATCACACGGGGGGTGGAGCGTCTTTGCGTGGGTGACCGGGAGAAGGAAACGGACGATCCACCTGCGGAAGCAGACAACGAAGACAAGGACGACAATGACGGAGAAGGCGGGGAAGGGGGGGGCGGTTACGTGTCGCTGTCCTTGCAGAGCGACATGGTTCGTAAGGGCGGGAAGTCGAAGCCTTCCGACCGCAATAGTCCTCCGCGGGCGAAGAAAAGCCAGGGAAAGGGGAGAGGTGGCGACGACGGCGGTGATGCGGAGAAGAAGCGCAACTTCTGGTCCGTCGCCCTCATAAGGGCTAAACGTGACCAAGATGCGCATATGCAGGGGATGGGGCACGCGTACGCCCGGATGAAACCGCGGGGATGGAAATGGCAAGACGTCGCTCAAAGGTTGAAGAACGTGGGCGTGGACAGGGATGCCGAGAAATGCGGCAAGAAGTGGGACAATCTGATGCAGCAGTTCAAGAAAGTCCATCATTTTCAATCGCCGTCCGGGGGGGCTGACTTCTTCCAGTTGATGGCCAAGGAGAGGGCGAGCAGGGGCTTCAATTTCATTATGGATCGTGCTATTTACGACGAGATAGAGGGGTCGACCGGGATGAACCATACCATCCACCCGAAGAACGTGGCAGACACTGGTGCTTCTGGCGGTGTTCGTCTGCCATTGACGTCGGACGCGGTCCCTGAATCCGTGGCAGATGGGGACGGAGGTGCAGGGCGAGAAGACGACGACGAGGGGTCGACGCAAGGTTCTTCCCAGGCGACGGGTACCCCCACTGGTTTTGGGAAGAGGAAGAGCACGAGGCAACCGACTTTCGACGCGCTGACGGAATGCATGGAGAAGCACGGGACGCTAATGGCGTCGACGATGGAGAGTGCGAGCAAGCGGCAATGCTCCATCCAAGTCCGGCAGTGTGAGGCTTTGAAAGCTGAAGTGGAAGTGCAGAGGAAGCACTATGCTGCGTCGGACGAAGTCAGCAAACTCATATGCCACGGGTTGTTGGAAATAGCGAAGGCTATCCGTGAGCGGTAGAGTTGCTAGGCTGTGTGCTGTGCATTTGTGGCCTCCCGGGATGTTGGCGACGAGTCAGTAGCAGGCTACCCCTTTTAGTCGTATTGGTAGGCAGGTTGTCGTGGACGCGGCTGGTCGTCATTGGTCGTTCCTCGTCGGCGGTGACCCCTTGGGGAGGGTCACTCGCCATGTGTACAATTTTGTGTTGTGGTTGTGAATGTCGTCTAGTGTTGTGGTGGTCGGAGACGGATAATCCTGTCATTGGAATTTTTAAACGTTCGGTGGAAAATTGCGGAGATCACTTACCTTTTTCTTGTGCTTGATGTTCTTCGATTGCTTCTCTCTCTCTCTCTCTCTCTCTCTCTCTCTCTCTCTCTCTCTCTCTCTCCCTCTCTCTCTCTCTCTCTCTCTCTCTCTCTC